TTATATGAATAACTCTGGAAGTCAATTAAATCTATGGGCGATGTTAAGTGATGTAATTTAATACCTTATAACCAAAAATGAGAAAATGATGCTATCGTTGATTTTTTTTATGATTTGTTTATATAACTGTATATTTGTGTTTATATATATATATATATATATATATATATATATATATATATATATATATATATATATATATATATATATATATATATATATATATATACTCAAAATAAAGTGTATAGACAAAAAAAAAAAGAAAAAAAAAATAAAAAAGCAAAAAACGCTCGACCAGGGTATTTCTGAAAGTTAACACTTTTAAAGCAAGCAATTACAAAAATAGAACATTGGCGATAAATAAAATTAAATGTTCACTTATCTGTTCCTACTCTGAGATTCATTAGGGTTTGGGGTGCTATTACACTTTCGTACCCACGCGTAAAATGTAAAACTAAAACACAACCAGATAAATTTATAAAATGTAAAAAAACTTATTTTTAAAATACTTCCTTTAAAGTTTAACTTCATAAAATTAATTAAAGATAACAACAGTTGGACTGTTGCAATTATTAATAATTAAATTTAATTTACAAACACTAGCAATGCTTTTAAAAAGGCTTCTGTAAATGTGTTTTTGCTGTCAAAAGTTTTTAAAAAGAACGTCAGAAAGAAATGAAATGTATTATTTAAAATTAAAATCATAAATTATGAAACAAATATTAAGAAAAAAGGGAAATATATTCGTATATGGTTTTTAAGCTAAAAAAGAAACTGAAGACAAAAAAAAAAGTGTGGTTGACAGTGTCATGAGTGGCGGGTGGGGAAGTATAATAGCGCCGGGTTTTGTTAGTAAAATTTGTAATAATTTTACTATCGAGCTCTCTGACGAGTAGAGGCAGATAAGTGAATATTTCATTTTAAAGTATCTATCTATCTATCTATCTATCTATCTATCTATCTATCTATCTATCTATGTTGGTCTGTTTCTATCTATCTATCTATCTATCTAGGTTGGTCTGTTTCTATCTATCTATCTATCTATCTATCTATCTCTCTATCTATCTATCTAGATTGGTCTGTTTCTATCTATCTATCTATCTATCTATCTATCTATGTTGGTCTGTTTCTATCTATCTATCTATCTAGGTTGGTCTGTTTCTATCTATCTATCTATCTATCTATCTATCTATCTCTATCTATCTATGTTGGTCTGTTTCTATCTATCTATCTAGGTTGGTCTGTTTCTATCTATCTATCTATCTATTCATCTATCTATCTATCTATCTATCTATCTATCTATCTATCTATCTATCTATCTATCTAGGTTGGTCTGTTTCTATCATCTATCTATCTATCTATCTTGGTCTGTTTATCTATCTATCTATCTATCTATATATATATATATATATGGGAAAATAATATTTAAATTTTTATATATCAATATTTATGGGAATGTTTTGTGACAAAGTGGAAAAAGTTCCGTGACGCGTTTCATCCTTAGAACTTCATCGGACAAAGTTCATATTGATGCGACTACACATGCGCACACACGAGAGACGCTGGAAATTTTAAATAAAGAAAAAAATAATTATAATTATTATTATATGATTTGGGCTATATGACCTACCCGATTTTATTTAGATTCATTTTTCCATTACTTTTGCTATTAAATATCCCACATCGTGATAATAGAAGATCTGGCAAATAAGGTGAAATGTTGTAAGAATCTGGACGTTAATTTATTGTGCATGATCTTTCTATTAAATCCCTTTCCAAACATTTTCCACTTTATCATACATCTTTCCGATACATACATACATACATATATATATATATATATATATATATATATATATATATATATATATATATATACAAATAGAAAAAATGCCGTAAGAATTTTTGCCGTTAACCATAAAATTTTTATAAAAAAAACCTCAGACGACATGAATTTAACGGATGTCAGAATTCGTTGAAAAATACATCCCCACCCGTAACTAAACCCTTTTTCGAACGTAATAAATAACTGATACAACAAAAGTTAATAAAACTGAACAGGCTACCACTACTTGTCTGGATGATTGGATTTCTCTGTATCCTTTGTAACCATAAATTATGAATTTCCCTTGCAGTTAAAACTCAGTAAATTTAAAAAAATAAGTTATTCCAAAATTCGCTTGAGGATGAAATGGAACTAATGTTTTAATTTAATTACAAAATTAAATTTAAAGTTTTAGCTTCCATTTTTTGAAACATGGTTATTACTGTGTAGCGAAAAAAAACATATTTTAAATCAGTTAATATATATATATATATATATATATGAGATAACGATATATATTTTTATACATCAAGAACAATATTAGGGAAAATGTATGATAGTGGAAAAAATTTACTTGTGACGCGTTTCGTACTTCAGGACTTGAACGGACTAAATTTGTTATGTTGGTACGACTACACATGCGTACGAACGAGAGGTGCTGTAGATTTTAGAATTTTTAAGCGTTTTTTTTTATTTTCTTTTTTTATATCTATACATCTAGACGAATTCACTTAGAGACTTTTTTCCTTTTTCCCCACTACTTTTGTTAGTAAGTATCCCACAAGTTTTCACTATTCCTTACAAATCTTCTAATACCATAGTGTAACAAATTTCGTCCGATGAAGTTCTGAAGGATGAAAACACGTCACAAGTAAACATTTTCCAATTTGTCATACAATTTCCCCACATATATATGTGTGTGTATATATATATATATATATATATATATATATATATATATATATATATATAAAAATGTATACATCGTTTTCCTAAATATATATATATATATATATATATATATATATATATATATTTGGGAAAACGATATTTACATTTTAATATAGCAAGAACAATTTTAGGGAAAGACTCTGACAAAACAGAAAAAGGTTTCGTGTGATGCGTTTCGACCCTTAGGAATCCATGTTTAAGTTATACATTTTACTATTAGACCAACTATATCACTGCTACAACTAAAAAGAATTTCTCTAAGCTTAACTAAAATTTCTCACCACCACTTCTAAAACAATAAATGACTTAATTAATACAAAACAAAGTAATAAGCTGAAATTGAAGGAGGAATTTATTCTATTGCATTTAATGTTTGCCACAAGGAACACATTGGAGAAACCTCCAGGACTCAAAAGATTATATGAACACAAGAGGGACATTTTACAAAACAACACATTAAATGCATTATTTACTCACCGTAATTAATCCAACCATTATTTTGATTTAAATATTAAAAGAGAAAGTAATATAGTCATCCATAAATGTATAGAAAGTGCTTTAATCAATAAATCACTACAATAAATTTGCATCCAGGTTATTAGAACGTTTCACCATTCTTGGCAGATCTATTATCAAAATATGGGACATTTAATAACAAAAGACATCGAGACATAAACAAAAAGAAACTAAATTGAATGGGATAGATTATTTAACCAAAACATTTATATATTGCACCAACAGATGAAGAGGGCTACTATTACGGACATGCTATAGAAGGCGCCACTCGAAATAATGACAGAGTCAGTGGCAGTCCGCTGAAGTTTAAAACCTGTCTCATTCCATATATGCCTCAGAGGAAAGTCATGAAATCAAGTGTGTGGGTCACTTCCTGGCAAATTGATGTTCACCGTAAACAAATTCAACGCCATCGGCTCTTTCTTCTACTCTGATTGTTTTTCACTCCAAACCAAGTCTTGCAAAGCCAAACGGCGATAAGGAATAGATGATTGGAGCTGGTTTTAATAAAACTGGAAGCTTCTAAACCTAAACCTACATGTTGGGGCCGAATTTAGTCGTCAACAGCATGATTATAAAGGAAGAGATCAGCAAAGAAGAAATGAAATTCTTGGATACAAGATATACCCGAGGACGATCTATCTATCTATCTATCTATCTATCTATCTATCTATCACCTTTTTTTGACATATATATATATATATATATATATATATATATATATATATATATGTTAATACAGTCTCACGTGCATATGACATGTTAAGCAAACGTTAGTATAATTTATAGCGTTCAAAATTCAAGGAGAGACGACACGTCCTTTTGAAGATGCAAGAAATTAACGAATTCCAAAATTGATAAACGCTTCATATTTTTATTTTATTTTATTATTCTGCCGGATTCCAATCGATATTTGATTTGTATTTGATCCCAACACACACACACACACACACACACACACACACACACATATATATATATATATATATATATATATATATATATGTGTGTGTGTGTATTTAGGCAGCAATCCTTCTTTCATGCACATTTCATTGAATACGACAGACAAGGTGCTTTGATTTAGTTTTTTTTATACAATTTCTCATATGATGTAATAATTTTTTTTCTTTTCAGTTGATAAATTATATAAAAACTGTCCAAATGTTCTTTTTTCCGAGCGCTTTCGGCTATACATTTAGCCATTTTCAAGGATGAAATATTTTAACTGTTAAATTAGAAATAGATTGTTGTATGTATGTATTTATATAATGTTTTCATTTTCAAAACACGGTCAAGATATTGTGTCCATGTTCATAGTTGATATTATTGAGTATTGTTTTTTGTTTTTATTAATAAGGCTTCCATTATTTTTAGCCTTTTTTATTAATTTAGATGATACTTTATATTTGTTTTGTTAACAAGTATGTTTCGAATAGGGTCCGGTAGGTCTCCATGAATATTTAAATGAGATCTAATTGAGCTATAATCAGAAAGGTGTAGAGTGAGCCTTCGTGTCAAACATGTTGTAGTGTGGCCTATATAATTATTTACGAATTTTGATTGATCGTGAATACAATTCCTTAATGGGCATTTAAATTCGTAAACTATATTTGACCTATTCAGTGTCTTATTCAATGATATATATATATATATATATATATATATATATATATATATATATATATATATCCGTCAGTTTACGTTTTTTTTAGTCTTCCGCTTCATTGGCTGCAACGTTTTCTTCGTAAACGACTTTTTGACTTCGTCGAAAAATGCCTTTTATATATTCGCGGAATCTCGTATAAAAAATAGCGTAAACGACCGGCTTTCCAGTGCAATTGACAATCCATAAGTTGATCATGAACATTTGGAACATTATCCAACTTTCCCAAGACTCAGGATCCGTGGACCACGAAACATTATTCATAATTATATATGGCGCAAGGCTGACCACATATAAAATAGAGATGCCCAGTAGAGTCCGGTTAATTTGTTTGGTTCGTAGGTCAGTGTTTCCGCTTTCGATCGGTTCGGCTTGCTCATCTTGCTCGACTGCCCTGTTTGTCTTCCAAACGAGATAGTAAAGCGTAAAGATAACAATGAGCGATCCAAAAAATATGGCAAAAAGTGTCCATTCATAGATGTACCAGAGAGGTGGTAATGTGTGCATGCAAGTGTATGCATAGATGTCCTTGGACACTAGGTAGCCGATTCTATCAACGACTAAAGACATAGGCAGGGAAAGGAATACAGATACACCAACAACAGCAGCGATTAATTTTTTGGTTTGGAACAGAGTTAACTGTCTTCTTGATGGACGGCAGACGAAGTTGTATCTTTCGGCTGCGAGGACTATGAGAGTGAAATGACAACAAATATTGCAAAAATACACTAGAAATACCTCCATTTTGCACAGGGCTCTGGACGGGTGCATTCTTGGTAACAGTAGATCGACCATGATGAGAGGCGCCGTCAGAATGCAACAAAGTAGATCAATGATTGTGAGAAAGATAAGAAGAACGCGAAAGTTTCTTCTCGTTTCCCGTCGCACAAAAAAGAAGAGAGTTAGGACATTGGCAACAGCACCGAACGGTAAGAGAAGTGTAATAAGAACAAATGAAGGTAGGTTCAACCGAAAATCGCTGGCGTTCATCAGCTCAATTGTGAAGTTGGTTGCCATATTGGAATCGTTGGCCAGCATCACTAAATATACAAATATTTAGTCGTAGACTAAATAGAACCTTTTTTTAAGAAGCTTAAATCAAATAGTATATAGTATTTTTATTCAAGTCGCGAATAAGCTCAGAATGTCTTTTTTTTTAAATTATTTTGTCAATAAATCGCTGTTTGATGCTAAGTGATTTTTTTCTATATTTTGGTATAAGTTCGATATTTGGCAACTGAAATATAAGAATTTACTTTGGTTATTGTAGACACCTCGAACTTGCTGGCAAAATGATGAAAAGCTGCAATATTCAGGAAATTATAAACACACACACACATATATATTAAACAGTGAATAATAATAAAAGCGTTTACGTTTTAAATATGTCGTCACCGTTATCGCGTGTAAGTGAATTAGGTAATCCCACAGTGATAAATGTTTATATTTGAATTTGCTTCTTTTTCATTTTATTTTGAAATATTTGTAATTCCACTGTCGATTTTGACAAAAGAAAATTATTAAACGTCCTGCTACTGGAAATTAAATCCGAAATAGACAGCCAGATGAAAAATCAATCCTGAAGCGTTACACTTTGGAGTAAATCAGTAAACAATTTCGTTTCGTGTTGAATAAAGAATCTTACGCTGTCAAAAAATAAAAAGCAAAAGAAGTATTTGTCTTCCAGAGAAGCAGTAATTTCACAAATGAGCAACACGGTGACTGACCGTTTCTAATTATCATACAAGAACTCTCCAGTAAACGAGTCACATAAAGTGGTATTACTTTTGATTTGATTGAACCCAGCAGAAAATTAATGTCTAATTCCTTTTCGCCGGTTTCCGGTATACAAAACCGTTTCCGCTTTTCAAGATGAATCAACCATGGTCTTGAGAATCGTGACCATTTCAACTTGACCTTTTTTTTTTTACATTTCCACTTAGTGGCCACACGGAAGTCTTCACGCACTGAGTAACTCATTGGCCACTCAATTGACGTGTACCGTATATGTGCTATTTCGGTATATTTTACTTTGCTGACGGAAAGATATTCAAAGTTTAAATCTAAAATGTTTATTTAAAATTGAATAATTTTCAAAAAAATGTTCGTTAAAATCTTTTAATTATATGATTTTTTAGGGTTTAAAAATATATATTCAGTTTAAAAACAGGAGACATAAAACTGACTTCAAAGGGCCATATATATATATATATATATATATATATATATATATGTGTGTGTGTGTGTGTGTGTGTGTGTGTGTGTGTGTGTGTGTGTGAAAATATATATAAAATAGGAAAGAACTGGTTAGGTTAGGTAATACGTTATTCAAAAAAAAAAAAAATTCGCTTGAAAATGGAACAGAGCTTACTTTAACTCAATTTAATTCAAATAATTATATTGAAGTTTTCGGCTCTTGTCTTGAAACATGAGACCTCTTGTGTCGCGAGTTGGAATCATATTTTAAATAAATAATTATATATATATATATATATATATATATATATATATATATATATATATATGCATAAATTTCAAGAGGATAGAATCCAGGTAGAACTCAATGTCCATGACAAAGTAAGAATATAACATAAAAAAGGCTCAAGCACATATATACCGTGGTTATAATTTATTACATTGGAATCGTAATCACGATCCAATTCATCATTGTTTTTGAATTTGTAGGTCTGATGAATTGGATCGTCATTACGATTCCGATGTAATAAATTATAACCATGGAATATTGAGCCTTATATATATATATATATATATATATATATATATATATATATATATATATATATATATATAAGACATTTCTATGTTTAACATTCTTTTTTATAGATACAAATATTTAAGTAAATGCTCTGTTTATAATAAACAGTATGAAACAACATTTACTGGCCTGAATGTCCGAGAAATTTTCACAGAAAATATTCGTCCTCCGACAGGATTCGAACCTGTATCCTATACATAAATAATTGTCGGACTTTGTCCATTTCATAATATAATATAATATATATATATATATATATATATATATATATATATATATATATATATATATGTGTGTGTGTGTGTGTGTGTGTGTAACAACGCCACAAAACATGAAAACAACAGATCTAACGTCGACCAATGAAAATAAACAATATAGAATACAAAACATTGTGCTGCTCCGTTTCCAAAAATCGGATGAAGCTAAATACATAGCGAAACATGTCAATTTATAACGTTCTTCTTACATTCTTTATTTAATCATTTTTTAAAAATATCTGAATTAGCATATATCATCAGCAATAAAAACAATACAGACTTTGATAAAAAATATACTGTTGTAACTTGTAGTCATGAAGGAGGCGGAAAGCGATGGAATTCAAACGGTTGTGTGGAGTTCGATCAAGGTACGAATTTATTTATTTCTGATTGTTACAGAAATAATGTCACAAGGCCGAAGAGGAAGTGAGGAAAACTGGTCATCAGTAAGTATCCTTGTCTTAGTTAATTACAATCACTACCCACTCATTCAAAACAATGTAGCCAGTCACCACAAGAACTTGTCCATCTCCTCTCAGTCTTGCATATACCACAATACCACATATTCAGAGATGACCTACAAAACATCCCATCGTGTAAAAGTTTCAATAAATGTTTGAAAGTCTCTTTTTTCTGCTTTCTTTCTTTTCTTTTTTTTTAAACAAAAATATATAGAAATCTCATCAGACATATGATGAGTAGGGAAGGAATGAACCCAAAACAAAACTAAGAATACAATAAAACAAACTAAAATGAAAGATGTTAGTAGGAGCCGTCTATCCCTCAAAGTAATAAGCGTGTCCGCTTTATTCTGCCGATAGACAGAATCAAGAAGCGCACACAGTAATCGAGTGGGAAGGAAAAACGAAACGTTGGAGTGGGAATAAAAAAACAAATTCTGACACTGCCGAGATAAATAAGGAGACGAAACTGGACGATTGGTAATCTCGACATGAATCATCACAAAAGAGAGTGTCGGGAACTGTTGTTACCAAGTAAATGGTTAAGAAATAAAACAAGAGGTTGCAGATAAATAGTTTATTGAACAGTAAATACACCAGAAGTGTGTTACACGACTTGGGAGTGTGTGTCGGTTGACCAGTGTTCAGTCTATATCACCGTTAATATTTAACAGTCCCCCACCCCGCCACGAGGGTACATGTGGCACAAAACCGAGTTTAACGTGGGTCATCCGAGCCCGTAGGCTAGGCCAAAAAAATTCCCGTAGAACCCGCATAAACGGGTTCGGGTCTGTCTACCTCTCCGACGAGAGACTTTCGGCACAGTCTCGTCCGGGTTCCTCTGTGCCCAAGCCAGAGAGTTCGACAGGAGCTGCGAACAGCCCCAGTAGAACAGTCTATATCACTGTTCCCCCGAAGCTTACTTTCCTACTACTTTATAGTTAGAGGAAGAGTCCACTATAGCCTGATTAAAAGGAAGACACAACAACAGGAACAAACCAGGAACATCACTCATTCACATTAACTAGGAAAGCAAGAAACGCCTAAATTCTAACCAGGAGAAGGTTCACAGGAAAACGCCTCGTTGTATTTTCTCTTTTGAGAACCAGGCTCGCCATAGATACCCACCTTTCGCTGAACTCTGACGACATCAAACGCTTTCTATCAGATTTGATCTTTATCCTGAGCTGATGCCCAAAGAATCCAACCAGATCCTCATGAGAATAACGTTCATATCGCAATGGACGATGTCCGTACCACTATTCTTGTCACGGCTAGCAACGTGAGAAACATCATCTGTTTCACCCCGGAGAACGGGGGCAACACATTGTCACACGCGTACGCGAGATCGATCAACACAAGCTGATCGGGAGAGATACGAGCCGTCAACTAGCCGACATAGTCCCATAAACGGCGCGAGGACAACGGTAGAAGGCGTGTGGAGCCGTCTCTTCTAAAACAAGGTCATACCGATGACAGTCGGGCAAATCCTCCCAGCCACATCTGAAGGCTACGTCATTGAGAGGTAGCACGTTACGAATCAATCGGCTAGTAAGCGAAAACTCAGGATTGCCGCTGGCGCCCAAGACCAATAAGAGTGCAACTCTGGTGATGACAAACCGAGACGTCGACTAAAGCGGCCCGTCACGACCCCACAAGATCGCGATATAATAGCCTACGAGGCAGTGAAAGGTCACTGGACCGAAGAACAGCCCTTAAGGCCGCCGATATTCTCGCAGGAATCTCGATTGATTCCGAGGCTTGCGATGGCACACAGGCTCAAAAACGGAGAGTGATAGTAATGCTAGGGAAGGCGTCACTAACACTACCCTGCAAAATCGAATCCTCCGTCAACGCACGGCCTAGGAACACCAAGCGCCTCCTTTCTGTTCTTGCAGCTAGGAAGTGCCGCCGATTGAGTAAAAGTTAATAGGAAAGACGTACGTGGCACATGCCTCAGATTTACATTTATGGACAACCACCGCCGAAGCCAAGGCTGGACCGCCGCTCCAACTTTTGACTGTACTTCGAACCAATTCCTCTTCAGCTGGAGACCAGGCCCAAACCACAATCCAAACATGCTGATGGATCTGTCTGTCCAACTAAAGGGTGCCGAAAGCGCGACTCACTTCCAGGCACCTAACTGCAAGCCGGAAGACTTGTCGCGGTTAATTATGGATCTCGACACTTTCTCTTACCGCGCAAGCGCCTTCTGTACTGCCTCTATCTTGCTACAGCACGACACGAAAATAGATACATCATCGGCATATGTAGAAACCCTGGCTCGACCTCCAGAGACAGCGATTCAGCGTAGGACCAGACTGCACGCCCTGTCTCTCAGCCGGCGAAGGAGGTGCTCCAACGCCAAAGCGTATAGTAAGGACGACAGCGGACAACCCTGACGAACCGACCGAGATAGCGCAAAAGCGCTCAACAGATTTTCCGTTCACCTGTACCATAGTACTGGGAGCGTGATACAGGAGGCTGATCCACTTGCAGAAGTCGGGTTCGAATCCAGCGACC